TGACCTTGCTTTAAACCCCCCGCAGAAGATCCCAGGAGAGGGAGGTCCCTTCCAACTTAAAAGTTCTGCACAAGTTTTTTTGTTTTGTTCTCAACGCTATATTAAGTTATTGAGTTAGACAGATTGACTTCAGTTAAGTTGTTTCTATATAGGATAGGTTATCCTGTGCTCTTTGTGTCCATATGAATGTGAAGCACATCTGAACAATTTGCCTTTTTTTCTCTCCTTTCTAGGTTCTGGGAACGCCTACAAGGGAGCAAATTAGAGAAATGAATCCAAACTATACTGAATTCAAATTCCCCCAGATTAAGGCACATCCATGGACTAAGGTGAGTCTATATGAACTGAATAATAAAGACATGTGGGCTGAAAGTAAAAAAAAAATCAATGAGTTCAGTTTGTTCAGTGGATTGGTGGCTTTTCTTTCAGTCTAAACTGGGTGCCTTTAACTAAGCTGTGGACCCAGTAACTTTTGATGTAGATAAGGAGAAGAAGTTATTGAAGCAGTGCACTGTAATATCTATTGGTCTTGGTTTTCTTGAGGTTGCCTACAAGTGGGTTTTGGGTTTTTTTTAAACAATGGTGTGTGTGTTTATAGCAGATTACGGTATATCTAAATCTTGTCATGCTGTAAATCAATGAGCACAAAAGTCACCTGTAATCAAGAAAGTGTTCCAGTGATGTGTGACACTTTCGTAGTGCTATTACATAATGTGACAATGAGGGCTGACAGTCACTTTCTTAACTGGTTCTCTCATAGATACTGTATTTGTACCCCTGTGGGTCTGCTGTTGGGGGGGAGTTGTTTTTTCTTGGAGTTACTACTTGAGATTTCTTGTTATCTAGCTTTCACAAGGAGATACTACTGCAGTATATGCAGCCAATATCATAACCTTTATGATCAAAGAGGAAACTGATAGTACTGAAACAAATACATTGCCACACAAGCTGTCTTCCACATACCAAGGAAGATGAATATTTGGCTTGGGACAGAGTAACAATAATTTAATTAGCCTCTTGGGTGTGGAGTAAGTTAAATAGTGAGTCTTGAGCAACTGGAGCCTGGGTAGTTAACGTTTTATTTTTGCTGCTTGAGAAATGTCTGATATAGTCTCAGTATATTCTCATTATATGTTAACAGCTCAGGTTTCCTTCTGCTTAAGAAAGTAGTGTGTATGTGTGGAAGAGTTGCATTCCTCGTTGAGCGCATGTCCAGATCAGATGCTTTTGGACCAAATGCTCTGTGGTGGTAGAAACTCTGGATAAACTAATTTGAGCTAATTGATAGCAGGCCATGTACCTGACAGGTACATGCCAGGCCAGGTGCTGTGAGTCACTGTTTTTGTGGTAGATTCTCCAGTGAGTTATGCACCACTTGAATTCTCCTTTTCCCCATTAATCCCTGGTTTGCATTTCCATATCAGAGTTTCTTTCAGTGCATTGGTTAAGTGATTTGTAGTAGTATGAGAGGTCAGTAAATCCAGCAAGTCTTTTTAATATATATATTTTATATAAATAACAGCCGAAAAAAATAGGGCAAATTAAATCCCTGGGGGTGGTCTCTTCAGTTTCAAATTGCGTAATGGTAAAAGTCCCTTTAATAAGTCCAGAAGTCTTATAGCACTGAGTATTAGGGTCACTCTGAATCCTGCAGTGAAAGTGTTTGGATTAGAGAAGGTTAAATTAATATGCAGTGGAATGGGAATGCAGAGATGTACCATAGGACACAGAGTTAAGCATCTAAGCTAGCTATGGAACTAATCTTCTGCCTGAATAGTCTTTAAGAATCATCTGTATGCACTTGATGGTCTTTTAGACCACAACAGAGATCTTTTGGCAAATGGAAGCTTCAGGAAAAAACTTGAGACTTAATTCTATTTATATGAATGGGTTTTTGGTTGTTCTACAGGATTGCAAGTGAAACTAAGTCAATTACAAAGAATTGAGAGGAGCTTGCCAGAAGATCAAATCTCTGTTCTCCGTTAGGGCACAATTAGTTTTGGAGAGCTGTGCTTGCAACATAGCTTCTCATTCTCAACTCTTCCTGACATCAGCTGGGTGTAAAATGGCATTTAAACCAGTTTATTACAATTGGGTTACACAATTTATGAGATCTATGCATTTCGTATTATACAAAAGTTAAATTAACAAAATGGATTATCCGGCATGGTGTTGGTAATGATGCTCATCCTCTCAATGTTATTACTTCTATAGATCCTTTCAACATTTTGAGCACATTGAGCCATGAAAGATTTAAGTAGTATTATGCAGAATTGGTTTTCCTTACCCAGCTGCATTGGTGTGACATCTGATGGTCAAGCAGTGAGCATGTGTATCCTCTTGGAGCTTTTATATCTTTAGAATTGAAAAGTGTGAGAGAAAAAGCACTTAGAATCACAGAATCATGGAATGGTTTGGGTTGGAAAGGACCTTAAAGCTCACCTAGTTCCAACCCCTCTGCCATGGGCAGGGACACCCTCCACTAGCCCAGGTTGCTCAAAGCCTCATCCAGCCTGGCCTTGAACACCTCCAGGGATGGGGCATCCACAGCTTCCCTGGGCAACCTGTTCCAGTACCTCACCACCCTCACAGTGAAAAATTTCTTCCTAATGTCTAGTCTAAATCTACCCTCTTTCAGCTTATACCCATTACCCCTTGTCCTCTCACTACACTCCCTGATACAGAGTGCCTCCCTATCTCTCCTGTAGCCCCCTTCAGGTACTGGTAGGCTGCTATTAGGTCTCCTCAGAGCCTTCTCCAGGCTGAACAACCCCAATTCTCTCAGCCTGTCCTTGTACAGGAGGTACTCCAACCCTCTGACCGTCTTCGTGGCCCTCCTCTGGACTTGCTCCAGCAGGTCCTTCTTAACTCTGGCTGTCTAATGAGCGGAAAAGGAATGACTGAAGTGAAAGTGCAATTTTTTTTTTTTTGTTAAAACTATGTATGTAACTGGGGTGCTACAGGTAGTTGCCAGTAGGACTCGGACTTCAAGTTTCAGCCTCAAAAGCACAAAGCTTTGCCGTCTAAGATGAAGAATTACTGAGGATTACAGATGTTAGAAGGTTGTTATTTTTGTGGAATAGTTGAAACCACAGCAGACAGAAATCAAGTTTTTCTGTGTTGAAAACTTCCAGGCAGCTAGTTTTCAGCATGTTTGAGAGACAGTTACTGAGAATAGAGTCACTGCCTGCTATAAGCTCTTTGACATGAGGGCATTCTCATTTTTGCTCTGTGGTGTTTAATACAACGTCGGTGTTTTTCAAAGTTGAGGGTTTTGTAGGTCCTACTTGGAGTTCATTTCATGCAGTAGAGGTGCCCAGTGAAGGTGCATGTTTAGCTACTGTCTAGAAGTTTAACTTCTTCTTTGCAGTCTAGAACTGGTTGTTTCCAGGCCAATAGTCTACACAAAAGTAAGGTCCATGATTGCCTCTTGTTTTCAGGAACTTTCTTGGTGTGCAAAATTGTGTATATATGGCAATTAAGAATTTTATTTAGAAGCTGTAGTACCTATAGATTGCATCTGAAATTGTGTGGTGCAGACTTCTGCTGTATATACCTGGGTCTGATCTGTTCTCTAGGTATTCCTGGCAGGCAGAGATAGGTTATTTTCCTACTCAGAATCACTGTGGTGGTATGATCTCCTACATTTGCTGTTACCTACTAGGCAAAGAATAATGGTGGCTGGTGCTGTAGCAGAATGAAATAGGTTCTGGGTTTTTTAAAGAACCATAGAAGTTGTTTCAGACTGAAGAAGGGTGAGTCCATGAAGGAATATTGTTTCTTGGAGTCATTCAGTTTGAGGCTTAAATGGGAATTTTGAGCACAAGTTTTAATGAAATTTGAAGTCTACCTTCACAGATGTGTCTTAGACTTTTAGGTCGAAATGGATTGGTATCATCTGAATACAGTATTCAATGTGATATAGTAGTGTGAAGAAAGAGATCTCAAATTAACAAGGCTCTTTCTTCATAGGTTAGGAGAGAAGTAAGCTGACACAAATGTTTTTCTATGCTGGAGCAATAATGCAAGTTCACAGTGAAAACTGGTTTTTCAATCTCTTGCCAATTTGAGATTGAAATACTTTTGTAACTTAAGAGCTGGAATCTCTCATAAAAAACATAGAGGCTTCTCTCTTCTCTCCAATATAGTTCTGTGTTGCCCAAGCGCATGCGTATCTTTATACCAGTTATGTGCGTGAAGCAGATGATGATGGGAGTTCAGTGTGTCCCTAGCTAGCAAAAGAAAAGAGAATCTACTTTCCAAGAGTCTTTCAAACAGTTCTTCCAAAACAGGATTTCTCTCTTTTCCTCTGGCACTCTAGCCCCAAAAGGAATAATCTGGGATGTTTTTGCTTCTTTTAGGGGTGTCCTCTTCAGAATACCGGGGTGTTTAATTTAGTAACGTAGCTGTTCTTTATTATACAGACCTCCCTTTTTCACTTAGCATAGAACATTTTTTATTTATGGAGGTGGATCCTAGTGCTTGTCTGCCTTGGTCTGCAAGTAAGTGGCATAAGTTACAAGAGAAGCAAGGTTTTGCAGAGGTGGGGATATCTTTTGACTGACTGATACAGTTAGAAAAAAAAATGGGGAGGCTTTTAGACACACAATCATGTCTTGAAGTTTATCTTGGGTCAGAAAACCTCTCCCATTTTTTCCAGCTGTATCAGTTCATCAAATAAAAGTTACTGCCCTTTCTGGAGGCTTTGCTGCTTTTGTTTTTACTAGGCCAGAACTTTCTTTGTGTCTTTCAGCCAGTTCAGCTCCTTGAGGCTTCTTTCTTGGAAGTGCAGTCTGATCTCTGCTACTGGTGTTTATAGTTGTTTCTCTTCTTCTGACTGAGCTTCTATGTGACTATACTATACTGTATATATACACTATACTCTTTGTGACTGGAAATCCAAGAAGAAAACTCTGGGATCAAGTGTGAGATTGTACATCCCAGGGCTGTTGAAGTTCAGCTTTGGTGATTAGCTTTCTCTGAATTTTTCGGCCCTTTTGGAGGGGGCAGGGACAGTGGGATGCCTGATGAAAGGTCTAAATGCATGCTTCATAAGCTTGTGTTAGATAGGCGTTGCATGGCCCCATATCAGCTACCCTTTGTCCTAGTATTACTCAAATGCTACCTTCAGATCTCAAATCCTTTGGATTATGAATAACAAAGATAGTGCTGTTATTTCCAGAAATATGAAAAATGTCCATATGGGATGGCCCGCCTTTCCCTTTGCATCCAGCTAGTAAAGGATCTTATTTGAGTAAGACTGTAGTAAAGGTAATATAATTATGTAGTTTAGGCCTCTTCTGCATGGGGCAGATGACTTGTTTGGTTT